ATCTGTACTTCCGCCAGGCATAGCGGTAGTAATATTCTGAAAAAGAGTGTCAGTACATATTTAGTACGTATTCTACCTTTGTGAATTATTTGTCCTTTTTCAGTTAACACGGTACTATTTATATCTTCTTTAACTATTTCCTTACTGTAGCGTTTAGTTAACTCAGTTCCTAATCTCCTATTTTTCTTAACGAATATTCTTAACGAATATTTTAAATTGATATAAAGATATTTCGTCAAACTTGAAAAAAATTTGGTTTTTGAAAACATTAATTGTAACTTCTTTACAAGGGATTAGATTATGACTTGAGCTTTCATCGCTATGAATCGTAGGTGTGAGTGAATTTATTTGTATTGGTATCCTTGAAAGGGCGTCTGCAACTACATTTGTTTTACGAGGTTTGTAAGTTAGTTCGTAATTATATTCTTCTAAAATGGCTTTCCATCGCTTCATTTTACTRTTAGTGTTCTTATGGCTTAAGGCATAGGTAAGAGGTTGATGATCGGTGATAATTTTAACTTTTTTTGAACCGTAGAGGTAATTTCTAAGTGAATTAAGTGACCATATTATACCAAGGATTTCTTTCCCATTAGTTCCATAATGTTCTTCGGCCTTACTTAGAGTTCTCGATATGAAATTAACTGGTCTACCGTCTTGCGATAGGACGGCACCTAATGCGAAATCTGAGGCGTCGGTCCTTAGTTCAAAATCTTTGTCGAAATTTGGATGCGCTAAAACTATATCCTTGGATACTAAAGTATTTTTTATTTTATTAAATGCTTCTAAGGCCTCGTTGTCTAATTCTACTTCTATTTTTTTGGAGTTCCTTTTGTAGACATGACCGGCTTCTCCTCTTAACAGTGCTGTTAATGGTTTGGCTACTTTTCCGTAGTCCTGGATAAATCGTCGGTAATAACCTGACATACCTAGGAAGGATCTTAATTCTTTGAGAGTTTGTGGAACTGAGAATTTAGCTACCGCTTCTACTTTTTCGGAGTTGGTTTTTATCCCATTTGAACTAATTACATATCCTAAGAATTCTGCTTCTTCTTTAGCAAATGTACATTTGTCTAATTAGATTTTCATGTTAGCATTTTCTAAGGTTTGAAATACTAAATCTATATTTTTAAAATGTTCTTCTTCGTTTTTGCCAAATATTATTACATCATCTATGTAAACATAGCATCTTACTCCTATGTGTTGAGGAAGGATATCGTCTAGTGCTCTTTGGAACGTGGCTGGATCATTTTTTAGACCGAAAGGTAAGCGGAGGAATTCATATTTTCCGTTGTTTACGGAAACTGCGGTTTTTTCAATGTCTGACTCGCGGAGTGGAATCTGATGGAATCCACTTTTTAAATCGATAACAGTAAATAGTTTATTTTTTCCCAGATTTGCAAGGACTTCGTTAATTCTGGTATGGGGTGTTTATCAGGGACCGTAACTGAATTGAGTTTACGATAATGTACGAACATTCGACATTTTTTTTCGCCAGAGGTATCTGACTTTTTGTTAACTATCCAAATTGGAGAGTTATACGGAAATTCTCCTTATTATTCCGTTATCTAAGAGTTCTTCGATTTGGAGTTCGATCTCGTATTTTAATGACATGGGGTACGGGTATGGCTTAGAGTAGACGGGGGCTTCGGTTGCTGTCCGGATTTCACCTTTTACTGGTAGGTAAGTTTTTCATCGGGATCGGAAAAAAGGTTTGGACATTTATCAATAATATTATTAATTTTGTTTTGTTGTTCTAATGAGAGATGTGGAATATTGGTTGCCACACTATTTACTTTATATTTTTAATATTATTTTTGTCGGTGTGAATAATTGCTTTTAATTCTTTAAGTGTGTCGTTGCCTATTATGCCGTGGAACGATCCTAGAGTTGGTAGTATGAAAAATTTTATTTTGCCTACCCTTGGTCCAAAAATGTCGACAAAGATACGGTGGGTAATTTCGATTGTTCCGGCAACCGATTTCACTGTAAAGGCTTCTCATTCGGAATGGGATTCCTAATTCTAGTGGATTGAATGTAGTTCTTATTGGATCCGGTATCAATAAGAAAATCTGCTGTGTCTTCGCGCCTTGTTCTAAATTCGTAATAAGGCAACGAAGACGGCGCTAATTTAAAAAATTAATAGTATCAGGTTCGTCTTTACTTGCATTATCGTAGAGATTGTCATCGTATATCCCGTTCGGGTCTAATTCTACCGCGTTAGTAAAAAAATTTCTTTGTATTTTGCTTGGAGGATGAATCAGTTGTGCGGAAATCGGACGTTTGGGTGGTCGATTCTCCTGGAATGTTTTCAGCCTATTCTGATAATTGATTTGTCTTGATCGTATTGATTGGTCGACTTCCATTGGGGTCGGTGGTTTAGGTGATACATTTGGTCTATTTTTAAAGGAGGTATTTTCTCTAGTAATATGGGGGTTGTTCGGGTAATTGTTGAACCTCTGTATGAATCCTTGGTTATTTTGCATATAGTTGGGAGAGTTTTGGGGATATCAGTTTGATTGACGACCGAATGGATGTTGGTCGAAATTTCGTCTGGGGGAGTGGGAATATGTTAATTCGGGGTAAAAAACTCTATTGTAGTTATTAAAGTTGTTATTTCGGGGAACTCGTGGTGGTGATTGAATATTTGCTTTGTATATATTGTTGGCATGATTTATTCTATATGTTATGTTGTCAAGTTTTTGACATAAATGTAGTGCTTGGGGTAAGGCTGTTGGTTCTCTCAACCAGCTTTGAGGAGCTTTGTCCCTACATGAGTTGGTCATAGTCCGTATGGACTCGTCACTTAGCTCAAGACAGAAAATTTTGTCTAATATAAGTGAAAGATGTTGATAAACTTTTTGGTAAAAAGTCGGAATGTCGTCATGGCGTTGGACTAGAGTGGTCATCTGATATTCAAGGGTACCGATGTCCCTTTTATCCGAATAATGCATCATTAGCCATTTTCGAATTTGGCTCCAATCAAGTGGAGTATTGAACGATTCCAATACGGTGTCGGGATCGCTAATTATTTTGTTCCTAATCGCGATTATCGCGAAATATTTAGGGGTATTTTTGACTCCCTCATAAGCTTTAAAGATTCTGTCTACGCTCTTCCTCCAGGACTTAAATTCTCCTGGTCGTCCTGAAAATTCTCTAAGACATTTGACCATGTCTGGAATCTTATCTAATTCATTTATATTATTCGCGTTCATTGTTACGCTGTGTTCGGGTTCAGTGAAGTCAGTTACAGTTTGTAAATTCACTCGTTATAGTACTTCTCGAACTATTGCCGTTATTAGAGTTGGGTTAGGGCTGGGAGGGTTTAAAGGATGGTTTGCCCATAATCTATCCTCATTTGGTTTAACTGTTCTACTAATTCCTCGGCTGTGTTTGGCATTATCTCAAATTTTTTCTCTTAGTTTAATTAATCTTAAAAAAAATTCTTTTGTACGAGCACTTTTTTTTACAATATTGTAATCTTCTTAGAATATTTTGTAAGGCTTACATTAATAATTTCCAGCTTCCCATGGGGTGTTGTTGATCGCTTCGGGGTTGTCCATTTTCCTATATCGATACTGGGGTTCCTCGACGTTTCTAGTCTAGATCCCACATTGTACCATGGGCCGCTCGTTAGCACAGTATGTTTTGTTGTTTTTCGCTTGTTACACTTTCACAATCCCTACCGTCGCCACTCGCGTAGCCTTACTTTTGATTTTCGATTGTCACTTTCGTGCGCACTGGCCCCTGCTCGGGCGCCAGTTAAAAAAACGTATTGTTATTTTTATAAAAAAAAAATATTTTCTTGGAGCTAGATACATAGCTGAGGAATGCACTGCGACCTTAGGTCTATTGTGCCCATTCTTGGAGCTATGCTCCTTTATTGAGTTTCACTAAAGAACTAAAATTTACAATTACCATAGGTTGGCACTTCGCTGACGCTGCGCTTCCCACAGGTTGCCACTACACGTGTCGCACTCTCAGCGATTTAGTGGTGTCATATTACATTACTTTTTGAATGTATGGGGTGCTTACTTATATCCAATAAGAACTAGTCCCTCAGTTTTTAAGATATCGTTTTGAAATTTTCCAAACGTAATTTTTTCTTCCAGAAGCTGCTCATTTGTCGGAACTGCCGATATCGGACCACTATAACATATAGCTGCCATATAAAGTGAATGATCGGTATCAAGTTCTTGAAAAACTGAATGATCGGAATCAAATGCTTGTATGGAAACTTGGCATTTCACGTGGTATCTTCACGAAATTTGGCATGGATTACTGCTTAAAGTAATAATATAATCTCCGAAAAAATTATTCTTATCGGATTATCATAGCACATAACTTTCATAAAAACTGAACACATAGTTACTAACAGAAATGCACCTGTGAAGGGTATATTAGCTTCGGTGCAGCCGAAGTTAATGATTTTTCTTGTTTTTCACTGTGATTGAAAAATCGCATATCGCTACTGCAATCTCTTTTGGTAAATAAAAGTTTTGTGAGTTCTATGAAATGCGATAGCAGTTCCATTTTGTGAATAGCGATTGCGAAGCAGTTCACAAAAATCTTTAGGGTACTTGTAATCGCAATATCAAAAGAGCATAAAACATAAAAGCGGCTGGTATGGAACTACCACCCAATATTTTCTAAGGCCGCTTGGGCGATTAAAATGCCCAAATGCTATTAATTTTAAATGCAAATATTAAAAACATGTTTTAAGTATAGAAGCTTAATCGTTTAATAAGTAATCAGAAGTTGCAACTACTTAAAAATTTTTTAAATTTTAATTTTAATTTTATTTATTGTTAAAACCAAATATAAATTGAGTACAAATGTTTTCATAATTTCATTGTTTTATTTGAGATCACAATAGCAATATAAAGCCACAGTGGTTTAAAAGCAATCACAGGTATCACAGATATTAAAATGGTAATATCGCTCATCATTATAATGTAATGTTAAACTGTTTTGTTATCTATGGGGGAGATAATGGTACTTACCGGGCTATTGTTGTTATTATGCGTAATGTTGCTGGTCTTTCTGTTATTGCCGATACTGCCATTAATATTGGTGTTAATGATATGGTTAATGTTTTCGTCACTATTTCTACTTTGCTGCTGCTGATAATGATTATGATTCTGATGAAGATTACTGGCGGGGTATTCCATTTGATCTGAACAAAAGCTCATTGGTTCTGTTGTCGGATCGGCTTTCAAAGTCGAATCGTTGATTCCTGAGCTTTTGTGCGCCGGCAAATGTTGTAATTGCTGCTGCTGCTCTATATGCAATTGGTGATTGTACTGTTGTTGCTGCTGGAGTTGCAAATCTTGTTGTTGGTGATAATTATAGGGGTATTGGGGGTTTTGTTGTTGGTGTTGTTGTAATGGATATGCATCAAACAATGTTTGCAAATCGAAGTAATTTGGCTGCTGGTGATGTTGCGAAAGCAGCGAAAGCGCCATTCGGTTTTGTAAATATGCCAAGGATTTAATACACGCACTCACACGATCGATTAAAACGCAATATTTGTGTTCAATTACCAATATTTAATAATAAAGTCCCGGAACAAATGTTTTCACTTACATACATACGTTGTTATTATTTCTTTCCGACGCGATTTGTTAGTTTAGAATTTTGGAAGACAACCAAGGAAGTTGTCTTTAGATCTTCCTAATGAAGTTGATGTAGCAAAATAGTGGCGGGTTTCAGAATATATGTACTATAAGCACATATTTTTTAAATTTTTAAGAGTTTGAGGTACAGGGACCTTGCAATATTTATTTTCCACATTCAGGGAAGCTATTTACACTTTGATTTTACTAATAACCGTATGCTTCTTTACGCTAATTTCTACTGTTATTTTATTTACTATTTTATATTGAACTCCTTAATATCGATAAAATGAATATAGATTTGTAACACGAACTAGTTGACTAAATATTTTACTTTGACACTGAAGGCTGTTTTAGTGAAACAATTTGCAAGCTTCACAGCTAAATTGTTTAAAATAACACGAAAAAGGAATTGTACAGCTCCTTTATTCCTGTTGTCTCACGTTGACGATGGCTTCGAAGTAGGGTATTTTCGATTTTCAGCAGCATTTTGTTTATCAGATACATGTAACTCACTTGGTGCTCATTGGAATGGAATCGGAGTTCTTTGTGGTTAGGCTTCTCCATTTATTGAAAGGCAAAGATTTGTTTTCGCGATCGAAAAAGTTAAAAACTCTGTTTGTGTAGTTTATTCTCAAGTATAATTGTTCGTGTGGATTTCTCACTGTTCGCGTTCGCAGCAATTTATCAGTTTAATCAGGCAGCACTCCAGCTTTCTATCGGCTTTGTTGTTGCGCTTATCGCGTCTAGTCAAATGCTCAAATTCTTCATGGTGCTTTGACTGTTTTCGTTCGATGTCCGACAGTATGAAACGAATATTCAGATTAATTTATGTGCACTTTATTGAATATATGAACTTTATTTTCTACTTTAATTGTACCACGTTTTTACTTGTTTTTAGTATTTTTTGACTGGTAATATGATCATTTTTGGAAAATAATAAGCAAATTACGTTCTCAGAAAATGGCGTATTTCTTAAATTATGCCGATTCGCACAACACTCGATTACTTTCTGAAATAGGTTTTTCGTTTTGTTAACAATTCGATACAGTCGCTAGTCGAATTGGTGTGCGATGTATGGTGATTTTCCTATACAATGCCACAAGCGTAATCTTGTTCACTACTCATGTGTGTTTAACTTTTTAGCTTTGTATTACTTATTCAACACTGTATTTATTAATATGATAAGTTCACTTCTGCCCACTTTTTTTGTTTTTTTATGGTTGTTATTGTTTTTCCTTTTTGCTGTTGAGTTGTTGACGCTGTCGTTGTGAGCTCGGCCAGTTAGTAAGAGCGTGATTTTAATGACGTTTCAGCTAGTTTCTCAAACTATAAATGCTCACTCACTGTAAACACATATTTATTATCGTGGAATATTTGTTAAATTTTTAATCAGATTTGCTTGAATTAAAATGTACTTATTAATTGATCCGACTATGTATTTCAATTTGTTCACGCCTGAAACGAAAAACGCCAGTATTTGATATAATTACGCGCACATTCTCGTATATACTTATGTATATCGACAAAATGGACACCCATTTAGGCAACACTAATAAACTTGTATCATTTAGAGTCTTTAGTTGTGATATTTTTCAGTAGTTTAGGTTTTCGGTGAGCGTCTATGGAACGTTAAAGCACGTTAAAGGAGCAATTTTAATACAACGAAGCAATGCTTCGCACAGCGAAATGAGACCAGCATTTTAGTTGAACTTTTGGCTGAATCCAACCACCACCGCTACCGCGCGTCGTTCGTCCACGAGGTCAAAACAAAAATGATCAGGGAGAAATTGTGTCGCTTGCGGGAAACTGCAGAATCCGTATCCAATCAATCGGTTCAGCGATGGTGATGATTCTAGTCTTGCTTGTGTTTCTGTTAACAGATCCAGCTTTAGCGACGATTCAAACACGGACTTCGACAGATCTACTGGTGGCGCTCGCTCGATACTCACGACAAGTACAAAATAAATGAAAACGAGAACGAAAACGAAAACTACTGATGACTGCGACCTAAAAGCTTATTTCATTGCTAACCTATCCATACATATGTATGTATATATGAACATACAAGTATTTACGTCCATTTGTAGTACACACATTTATGTATATTGTCATCAATGTTGCTTTGTTGGCGTTGTCTCCATGTATCGACATACATACATAAGTATTTATATATGTATAGATATTTCTCATGAATCTTACTGATGATAGCTCTACCACCAACAGTCACTTACTACACACATACATACATTCTAGTAACCGTATATAAGTTCGATATAGCTAATTGAATGGGAAATAAGCATGGAAGAGGTCGGGGCTCTTTTGTTCAGATACTTATCTTAATAAACCGTTTAAAAGTATGCAGATGTACTGAGTGTATGTGTGTGTATATGGAAATTTATATTAGTAGTCTGTGAAAAGTAATCAGGGAGTAAACGAGTACGTTGCGATGTAGAAGAGATGGAGAGCTCAAGTAACCTTTGCTGGCAGGTTGGTGAGCTTCATATCCACACACACTTTACACGCAGCTTACTCTTTCGCGCCTCCCTTTGTATTAGGTGTAAACAAATGTACGTACTTAAATAGAAGAGTGTGTGCTTAAATTTGGAATAATTTTTTCTGACAATTAAGTATTATACAAGCCTAATTCGGACAGTCTTGCCTTCGTAAAATATTGTATTCGTGTTAATGTTTGTACGAACGTATTTCAATGCCTTTCCATAAACTAGGTGTACACATTCACGTGAGTATTACATGCTTTTTTACATTTATACGATCATCTATTTCTCAAATTCACCATACACACCCCGATCACGAACTAGAGTTCACATATGTCCATATCGACACATACATACACAAGAATATACATACATATGTACTTGAATATACGTAAGCTTATATGTTTTTGTCACTGGCTTAATACTTTTCAACGAACGTATATGTATGTATGTAATAYATACGAGTATACAATGTATTTTCGTTGTGTATGATAAAATAATAGCGTTTAACTGATCTTGCCTTGTGAGTGGGATGACGATGATTTCACGTTTCAATCAACAAATATTGCACAATTGGCTTTCCTTCGTTCAGCGGTTAGTTCAGTAAAAAAATATAAACATATACATATGTATATATTTTTTTATAACGGTACATTAAAGTCGACACTGTTCTTTAAACATCAATTGTTGATATTTTATTATTGCATACTTCGTTTTGTTCTGATCTTATTCTCGTAGAAGTTGTGCATTATTGTTACTGCCGTTGATATCGCAAACAAATTAACAAGCTCACTTGCCAACAGATACGCTAGTATGGGAATGCTCACAGCCACAAAATCACGACTGATACTCACCCACCTACAACTGAGCACTCACAGTTGGTTCTCGACTGTCTTTTCTCATTAACTCAGCGAATAAAGGAATATTGCTCACAAATTGATAGCGAAACCCCAAACTACGAATATTTGTTTCATATAAATATGTGTATGTATTAACATACGCGCTTAGTTTAAATTTTGATCTAATATCAATTATATTTGCTCGAAGACATTGTTAAAACGTGCTGAGAGACGTTCAGAAAGTTTTATATATTTTACTTATAGTATATATTATAGTATATTGAAAAAGGTCCCGACAATTGACGTTGAAGGAAGCAATAGAAGCGCTAAAATATAACACTTGCTATAATTACAATCGTAACAATCGTACTAACTTCGCTAAATGCGGTATAAGATGGTACGAGTTATGGTTACCAAAAGTTGTTCTCACCATTCACCGAGAATTAGAGCCATGGTTGACCAAATGGTTTTAGTCAGCGAAATAACTTGCTCTACCTACTTCCCATGTGCATGTAGGTATATTCATATATTCATACATACATATGTATGTATGTGATTAGGTTGTTATGCCAACACCGGTAATGCATTTCATACATGCACCTATGTATATATTCATATACTTACATAGAAACCCAGTAGGGAAATGCACTGCTACCATAGGAGGTCAAAATTGTTATACAAGTATATAACGAGAAAATTAATATTTCTACTTTTTCTTCAGATAACGTTGTCGTATTCGTTTATGTTTATTCTAAAAATCTCTGAATACAAATGTACAAAAAATTAAACTAATTAAATTAGTTTCTACTTTGTGAGCTTAAAAAAATCGCCTTTTATTTTTTGTATATTTAGATAGATACATGTTTCAAGAGTACGTTCTAAAAACTTAAATTAAGCAATCGCCATGACATTTTTTAAACTTGTTCTTCAGAAATGTATGCATCCGTGGCACTAGAATTTTTGAAAATAAGTGGCCAATTCGAATATTTGCCGGAAAAGATGTAGAGTCAATTCGAGCTTTATTGCTATTGCGGTTTGTCTGACTAAACCATTGCAAGAAATGACAATTGACCTCAACCAATGAGGATGGTTTGTAAAAAATTCAGAAAATGTTCATTTTTAACAGACATACGAGAGTAAATATCCAAGATGTTACTTTTACATACAAATTATTTTCTTTTGGTTTCCAATTGATTTATTTGTAAAATATTTGACGTTCAATTTCGGTCGATTGCTTTCTTAATTTCGGCTATTCATAACGTAAATTTGCAGGATGTGATGACATACTTGGGAAATTATGGATCGCGGTCAATTAGCAAGCGATCGGCACGATGTCACAGCCTTTTCAAACAACGGCTACGATGTAATTTGTAGAGTAACAAATCATCAAGTATTATACGAAGTGATGAAAACCAATATAGTTCATGGACCTTGCAGACCCACAATCGGACTTCGGTTTGTTTGTCTCACAATAAATACTCGACACACTAACCACATGCTTTTCTTTCGGAAACGCAAACTGGAAATAATGAATATGCACTGTATTGGTGTCACTCACTAGGCGACAATAGAAGAACATTCAGCATTCAATTGAGGAATGAATATCAAAGTTGACAACATTTGGATCGTATCATATTTGCCATTATTGACTAATTCACACTCAAAACTCATATCAGTGTTGAGTATTGCAGTTTGGTGAAATCTATCAAATACGGTTGCAAGTACGTCACCAAAGAAAGCAACATGGCGGTTATTGGCCTTGAACGAGATTAGATCAGTAAGTATCAAATGAGTCTCTTTTAAAGATATAAAGCGCTTTGTAAGATATTTACTTTTGCAACTCATGAACGTTTTTCTACTATTGTGCACCTCGCAGTTTGTTTGGAGAAGGCCAAAGTGTGGATTTTAACCCATAGAATACAGTACACCCAACGGAAACACTGCTAACAACAAAATTGACATTTGCGAGTTTTTTCTCAACTTGCAGATCCGTTTGCAAGAACATCGCTCTATTCGAAAATGTCTTGATATTATACATGGAATTGGTTACGCAGAAAGCAAGGTCAAGCAGTAGATGGACACCCAGGTGTGTTCTCAACAAATGCATTAAGACTAATTTATACAATCCACCCAAAAAACGACAATGGTTTCTACCCTCGGTAGCTATTGATTGATGTACGTGGTTCAGCGTCATTTGAGTCATTACGTACTGTGAATAGTACGGTGTGTGCAACTTTTTGAGAAGCATGCCTGCAATTACAATTGCTGGAACATGATAATCACTATATTCGCATGCCACTGAAGTTCGCACACTTTTTGCGATGATCACTTCGACATATCAGCCTTCACCCGCGTCAATTGTGGGATACAAACAAAAATGATATTGCCGAAGACATTTTACATCGTATTCTCTAAGAACTGGAAATGGGCAAATTTCGGATGATACTTCCAGTGCTTTGATATCAGCTGCCTTTTGTCAATTCACTTCAAGAAAAGAGGAACTAATCACGAATGATTATCCGAACATTTGCGAAATTATCGTAACTACGATTACTTGAGTACACGCTGCCGAAAAGAATCAAAGTCAAATCCCGGGTGGTTTGCGCTGATACAAATCGATCGATCATCTTGACAATGAAGACGAAGCCGAAGACGAATTATCCAATTTCAATTCTAAATTCTTGGATCTGTTTTTATTACTTATGTTTCGCATCTTCAGGCGTCTGTGTAAAGGAACCCGACTAATTGTTTCCAGGGATAACTGCATTTGCAATGAAAATCAGCAGGACACAAGAATATTCGCTAAAAGTGTGTGGCATAAATATAGAAATGCCATGGTTTCCACACGCCGTGTTCACAAGTTGGAAAACCATCTTCTCTGCATATTTACATTACATTAAAAAAAAATCCAACTTTTTTTCATTTAAAAACACATAATATCGCGCAGGACAACGCCTGCGGAGTCAGCTAGTTATTAATAACAAAATTTCAAAAATCGATTATTTTCAAGAGCTCATAATTTACTATTAGAACGGGTCGCGGGGTGTTTAAAGCTTTGAAAAACTTTTTTTCCGACAAATACGCGAAAATTTCATGCTTTTACTTACAACTTGCAGGAATAAAAGTCAAGGATATACCTTAAGATATAAGGTCAGCTGGATGTTCGAATATAATATAATATAATATAAATATAATTTTATATAATTATTTATAATTTATAGACCACTATCGCTGCTGTCAACTCTATGATACTCTTGGATGCAAGTTTTATTTTTCGATAGACATAGTGGAATATTGCATGTTCTGCATTTCCAATCCAAAATACATCGTCTTCGACCATCATCCTTGAAATACCAAATCATTAACTATGTCTTCTGTGATCAACAAGCTTAATATATTTTAAGATTATTTGTCATAAACCCTCCAAATATGCTCTGTTAAACCATATTCGCCCGAAAACAAGCAATGTGGATAAGGTTTTACTACTTTACTCCAATGCACTTTATTTAAAATTCGCACTCCTGCTTTTATGCCGAGATGTCTGAATTTGGTATCCCCGCAAAACTCATACGGCTGTGTAAGCTGACGTTGAGCACCTCCAAAAGCTCT